GACAGGGACAGGGAAGAGCCCAGGCTTCATGGCCCAAGTCCTACACTGACTAGTAGAGACGCACAAAACCTGCAGCCTGAAGACAATTGTGACTGGAGATTGCCATGTACCCTGAACCCTCCTCAACTCTAGGGCTCTTCATGAAGCCCATTTTCCAGAGAAGGAGGGAGAGGCCCCTCCTACCACAGGAAATGGCTAGAGCACCCTAATGTCTAGGTTACTGAGCCCTAACCCTGCCCAGGGACTCTGCTGCCTGTGGCCCCACACCCTCTCCAGCCCTCAAAGCCTTGTCTTTCCCTGTAGAACCATGCAGACAGGTGTCAGAGCTGAATACACTGGGACCCAGAGAAGATATGTAACTAACTCAAGGCAACAGAGCCTGTAGGGGCCCCAGCCTGCTCTCCACAGAGCTGGACTGTCACTGAGTCTCATCTAAGTTTCTCTTGCAGCTTTGTCTCCCTCTTAGTGAAGGAAGGAAAGCACTCAGGAACAAAAGAAACTCCTCTCTCTAGTCCTTCCCTCTCCTGGGCAGAGATGACCTGCCCACCACATCCCCACAGAGCCATCACTCCAGCTCTGAAAATTGTCCCAAGGTGTATGTCAGAGACTGCCTCCCCCAAGGCTTCTCTCTGATTGACAGGAATTGGGTAGAGGTAACTGAGCAGGGGACACACTTTATCCTACACAACAGGTTTCTCTGAGTCCCTGGACAGACTGAAACCTGAGTGCCCAACTGGTCACTCCCTGTACCTCTCAGTATGACCCCACCTGGACCCTCTCCCCCAACCCCCTGTCTCCCCAGCCCCCCCCCCAGTGTCACCACTCCTGCACAGCCACCAAGTATACTCATCCCCTCTTGTCCCTAATCTACTTTGTGCTAGGAAACAGCAGGGATATCCAGGAAGCAGAAGAGGCTCAAGGTTGGCAGGCAAGGTCAAGGCCAAGCCAGAACTGACCAAGTGACAAGAAGTGACCTCCCCTCCCCCAACTCATGAACATCAGGGTCTGGGGAGGAGCCAGCAGTAGTGTGGGATGGGGACACACCATGGAGGATAAAGGCATCTCTGCCCCTTGCACACACTGAGACCGAACAAAGGATTTGCCTGTCACTTGGCCAGTTTCCACTGGAGGCAGGAATTGTGTCTCTTGTTCCTTCTTATCTGTGCAGCCGGCAGAGTGGGCCCTCAGTGAAAGGCAGGCTAGGCAGTTCCAACATGATCATGTGAGGTGGTAGGCTGCTACATAAAAGCAAGACCCTCCTGGGCCTAAGGGAAAATAGCCCAGAACTCACCCTATCCTGAGTGCTAGGCAAAAAGACTGGAATGGCAGGGAGAGCTGTTAGCAGAGGCTAGGACTCACTTGATTATTGTGTGTGAGGCCCTGGGTTCTATCCCAGCAATGGAGGAGGAGAACGGGGTGAATAATGCATCCAGAGCAATAGCAATGTGTTTGGGAATAGCCACTGGCTACTTACCCAACATGCCACATTATACCTCTGCTCACTTCCTACTACCAAGGCCATACCCATTTTGCAGAGGAGGAAAGCAAGACTCAGCTAGGCAAGAGAGAGGGCTTATCCCTCAGCCTGAATATATAGGGATGCAACAGGCTCACCAATCAGCTCAAAGAGACTCCCCAATCAGACTCACCCCAAACAGGCTCACCAATCAGACTCCCCAGAACCCCTACTGCTGCTCATGCCAGTTTGTGAGTCTTGCCTAGGCTGGGGGAGGGGGGCAGAAGTAAAAGGGTCTTCCCCTCTGCTAATCTGCTACCCTTAGAGATGGAGGGAATTCCTTCCTGTGAATGTGGATACACGGCCATGTCAGTAAAGAATCTCTCTGCATAGGAAGAACATAGGAGGTTCCAGAGCATTAAGTGGGAAAGATGGTTATATTCAGGCAGACCAGATATACTGTCAACTCCTCGTGGGGCCTTCACACACACACACACACACACACACACACACAGACAGACACACAAACACACATGGACACACAAGGACACAAACTACAGTAGATCCATACCACCCAGGATGGTACCCAGCATAGACTTAGGTGGGACCATGGGGCCTCCAACCTAGACCTTGCAGCACAGGGCAGCCAAGGTTCCACAGCATCCGCATCAGTCAGAGCTATGGTTCTTCAATGGGTCTCCCCAGAACCAAGAGCCAAAATCAGTATATGACTCTCTTGCTCTCATTCCGTGTGTGTGTGTGTGTGTGTGTGTGTGTGTGTGTGTGTCTGTGTCTGTGCCCTCTGCCCTTGAGAGTGCAGATGGAGGCCAGAGGTCAGTGTTGATGTCTCCAATGGCTCTCCACCTTATTTTGCTTTTAAAGGTTTTTATTTTTTTAATTCATTGCAGGGGGAGGTTATGCATGTGGATATAGAGCCCATAGAAACCAGGAACTTTGGCTTACATTGAGCTTGAGTGCAGACAGTTGTGAGCCAAAGACATGGGTGCTGGGAATTGAACTCTGGTCTTTAAGGAATAGCAGTGTTCATTCTTACCACTAAGCCGACCACTTCCACCTTACTGTTTGAGACAGTGTCTCTCAATGAACCCAGAACTCACCATTTCAGCTAGACTGGCTGGTTGGTGAACTCCCAGGATCCCTCTGTGTCTGCCTCCTAGTGCTGGCATTATAGCCATGAGCCACAGCATCCAGCTCTTCCATAGTGGGCACTGGGGACATGAACTCAGGTCCTCATGCTTGCACTGAGCCATCACTCCAGCCTCACGAGTCACACTTTTAAGGATCCAGAGGTCGGCCCAAGAGAAGAGCTGCCCAAGTACCAGGGGCTTTGCAAACTCTTCAGGAGGTGGTGACATTTAGGACTCCTTCCTGGATAATCCTTCTCTCATCCCCTACTCAGAATCCCCTCCTCCCCACCACCCAAAGAAAGAGAAGATGTCACCAATGCCTCATGAGAGGAAAAAAAAAATACAACCAGGACCTGCCACAGCTGCAGACCCTCTCTGCTTTACTTGATGAAATTCTTTTACTTCCACAAAGATCTGTAGACTTTTAAGAGCCCACACTGGGAGAGATGGCTGTTAACCACACAAAGGCCTGCCTGGAGGGAGCTAGCTTCCTCAGGAAAGAGACTGAGGCAAGTGAATCCCTCTACCCCTAAAAAGATCTTAGTGGAGGAAAAATGCTCTGACCAAAACTGTTTCACATCACAAAAGCTCAGCAGAGCACCACCACCTAGCAGAGTTTTGCTGGTCCCATTCTCCCCAAGTTGGTGGCCAGCCCTACAGAGATGGGGCTGGCAAAGGATCTTGGCCCCTCTGGGTCTTCTGAATCCAGAACCCACCAGCATGGGCCAGCATGGGAAAGAGAAGCACAGAAAGGCTTTTGCCATAAGCCCGAGGTCGCTCCCTGGACATAGTAGCTGCAGAGCAGCACACCCAGGTGCAGTTCCCAGCACTGTCTAGAGACCGTGACAAGCTAGGTATGCTGCCTTGTCTCGCTCAGTCTGTTTCCTCTTTGTGAACAGCTGGAGTGCCCAGAACATGCCAACTTGTTGGTGTACAGTTATGTTAAGGATGAAGCTAATGGTGCATGACACACTCAATAAGCAGGACACTGACTTCACAAGGCTCATTGGTGGTCCCCAGCCTTCCCACCATGGAGACAGCCTGGTGCAACACACGATACCATTTCTGGAGAAGTCCATGGAGCCCTCTGCCCTCCCCAGACCTTGGGGTCCCAGGGGTGCCCCCACAACCTACCTGCTAATGACTGGGCCACACCTTGGAGGGTCCAGTCAACCTCACAAACAGTAACAAGCTAGAAAAGGCCACCCACCCACTCTGGAAAGAGAGAGTGGAAGGCTTGGGCTGGGAGGAACACATATCCAGGAGCAGTTCCTGGATGTGACCTCCCTGATGCCCAATTCCTTAGACTATGGCCAGGAGAGCCCAAATCAATAAGGCCCCCTTTGATCTAAGTCTATGGAGAGTGAGGGGCATGGGGCTAAGGCTCTGGGTTGGCCAAGACCTGCAAACATGCACAGAAGACGGATGGGGGCGGGAGCAGAGGCCATGCACTGCACCAGAGCCTCCATCTACATCCAGCTGCCAGTCAACTGCCTGTCCTTCTGGGTGGTGCAGAGACAGCTCAAAGCTGGGGGGGGGGGTTCCACCCCAATACCAGGCCACTGCTGCCTTGCAAGTCAAACAGCTTGGCAAAAGTCCTTCCACACACTCATCCATCTTCTCTTTCCCAAAGTAAAAGAAGATGGTCAGAACCTATATCCCTGAGCCCCTGGTGAGCAGGGCCACCCCTGGCGCCGCCCCTGGAGAGGCTGCTATACGGGGGACACCTGGTGAGGAGACACTGAAGATGCAGAGACAGGAGATTTGTGAAGTTGGGCAAGTGGAGAGCCACACCTAGGACTGATCTAGAGGACTGTGGAGCGGGACAAACCTTCCTTCATCCATCAGCTCGGGCTGTATAAACCCATTTACTGGTGCGGCAAACAGACCGGAGCAAGGAAAAGAGGAGATGGAGAATACAATCCAAGAGGGTGCCCATGACCTTTGGACCCTTGCCATTACTGCCTGAGTGCTCTACCAGTCTCGCTACCCCTCTCCCTCCCAAACACAGTCACATTTTGCCAGGGAGGGGGCGACAGGCCAACCTCGCAGCGGCAGGAGCCGCAGCATCATCATTAGGCATGAATCACCCACCCACCCGGCTCCAAGCAGCAGAGCCACACTACGCCCGGGCGCCCCCTCCCGGGACCACCGCCCCCCTTGCCCAGGCACAGCCGGAGCCCTTAGGACTGGAGGGGGCCGCGGGTGTGCAGGAGATGCTCTGAGGATCTGGGTTGGTCCCTAGCTCACGCTGACAGGCGACAGCCTGCCAGGGCCGGGGGCGGGGGCGCGGGTAGAACAATGGGCCAGGTGCGGGGCAGGGGCGCGGCCGGGAAGGGCGGAGGGAAGGTCGTGGCTGGACAGGGGATCAGGGATCGGGATCGGGGCGCACTCACAGTAGGTTTTTCTGGTCAACTCCTCCACAACTTCAGGCTTCAACTTGCTATTGGATTTCCCCATGCTCGGCGGCCGCGGCCCCCGCTCCCCGGGCCAGACCCGCTTGGGGCGCCCAGCGGGAGCGGCTGGGTCGGGCCGGGGCGCGCGGAGGCCGGCAGGCCGGGCTGGGCCGGGCCGGGGCCGCGCCTTTGTCTGGCCGTGCCCGCGCGTTCCGTGCGCGGGGCTCCGGTGGGCTGTGCGACCACGGCTGGCGGCTTGAGGTCCTTCGGGGAACCGGCGGCGAGGGCCAGGCGGTGCAGACGGCCACGGCGCGGAGTTGAGTAGGGCTGGGCGGCGCAGCCGCCGGCACTCGGTAGCCGCGGTCGTCCCTGGTTACTGGGCTGCGCAGCACATGCTCGCAGCCGCTGCGCCGCCGCCGCCCCTGCGCTCCCCGCCTCCCGCCCGCATCGGCGCGCCAGGGGTGGACTCGGAGCCGCCACTCAGCGCCCGGCGCCACCTCCCGCCCAGCACCCGCCGGGCGCGCGCCCCGTGTGGAGGCGCCCCCTTTCCTGTTGGCTCTCCCGGGATGCCCGAGAGGTCACCGCGCCACCCTCTCTGCAGATCCATCCCCCTCTCCGTGGCGGCGTGGAGGGGAGGGCCCGGAAAATCGGACGTGAACGAGGCCAAGTCCCTGCTCGGCGCAATTCATTCATTCCACTTGGATGTGTTGGGCTCTGGGGATGCAGCGGCCAACCTGACAGGCTCGATCTCAGGCTTCTCTGGGAGCGTCTTGAAGTGATGGCTGGCACGGGTTACAGTGGGAACACTTATTTGCGGCCTTGGGGGAAGTGACCTCTAAGATCATGTTGAGAAAGGGCTGGGGCATCAACCCAGAAAGGGTCTGTTCTGGGAGGAAGAGCAGCCTGGGGTTCCAGGCAAAGCTGGACAACCATCTGCAGCCAGAAAGAAGGGCCAGAGCTTCTGGAAACCAAGCAAACCTGCTTTCCCCAAGGACCTGGCCTCTGTCCCAGGGGCCCATGAGTACTAGCAGTTGAGGCCTTTTCTGTTGTCTGGTTTGCTTGGAGAAGCCAGAGAAGTTGAGCCTGGCTAGTGGGGCTTCATACCTGGCCTCTCAGAGGTTGGCACCTAGGGAGGGACTTCAGGAAGAGCCTGGTTGGTCTGCCCTGCCCCTTCCCAAAATGTCCATAATTGAGACCTTCCTTTCCGGTCTTTCTGCCCAACACTGTCTGTATCTAGTTAACAGCTCAGGGAAACTTGGCCAATTTGGTTCAGTGTGGTTTTCTTTCCCCAAAGCATAAAGCCCTTGGGGGCAGAAATATGTTCTACTCCCAGAAGGCCCTGAGGGCTAGCAGCAACCTCTGTGAGCCAGTCTTGGTGGCAGAGGCCTGGGAGCCCAGTTACCCGGGAAGTGGAGGCAGGAGGATCTCTGATTCACAGACAGCTTAGATAACATACTAGTACTCTCAGGGAAAGAGCAGAGAATAGGAGAGGAGGGAGGAATGACCCATGATGGAAGCCAGAGCGGAGGTATGGAAAGACCACGGCAGGATGAAGACATTCCCTCCTGACCTCCTGAGCCATCAGGGATGCACCCACAGACAGAACTTTTCTCCACCTCAGAGGGGCCAGAAGGCAGGGAAGAAAAAAAAAAAAAAAAAAAAAAAAAAAAAAAACCCTGGCCAAGGCAATGACACATACCAACCCTAGTTCTCCCCATATCTCTCCGACCTTCAGACAGCCTCTGCTTCTGCCCTGACACCAGCCCACACCAGATGCAAGCCCCAGCTTGCTGGTGTGAAGGGCCCATTGGCTACAGAAAGTGTGCAGGCATGGACCCTGGAAGCTGGCACTCACTTCAGAATGGACAGCAAGGATAGACCACAGAGAGAGGTCAGAGCTGGCCTGCCTGGCCCCAGCCTCCTGCTCAGAGGGAAACCAGGGAGCAGTGATTGGGTAGCAGGGCTAACAGAACCTTACAGAGCTGTGAACCAGGCCTATCAACCCCCACTCAGGAGGTGGAGGCTTAGCAGGTTAAGGCCAGCCTTGACTGCTGTGAATTCAAGGACAGCTTGAGTTATATGATATTAAAAAATAATAAATAAATAAATAAAAGGAAACCCAGGTGCCCTGCTGTTTGTTGGGTGCTGTACTGAACACGGGGGACACTACAAGTGACCAACCTGAGAAATGGGCATGTCTCAGCCAGCCCCAGGACAACAACAAAACCACACTGGTCATGAACATCATACAAGGAACCAGAGGATTCTGGGGAATACAGGGGTCAGGGAAGTGCCTGGCTTCTCACAATCATCAACATAGGGCTAATATTAACTGAGCACTTACTATGTGCCAGGCCACAATAGAACTGACAATTTAGTGATCAGAGCAATAGAATCCATGAACAATGAACAAAAGAGATAATGTGTTCCATAGCCTGGGGAATAACACAAGTAAGATATGTCAGAGTAAGACAGGAACAAGGTCAGGATCTGTGAGCCCCCTGGGAGGGAATCTGCCAACGACCTGAAGCATGGAGAAAGGAGTTGGGGACACTGAGGACAAAGAGAGGCTCTCTGCAGAGCCAGGGCAGCACAGGGTGGGTGAGGTGGGGTGGGAGGACGAATTCATCGACTATGGCAAACCAGTGAGATAATCAAAAGGCTTTATCCTGGCTCATGGCTGTGGAGGTCCAAGGTCTAAAGACTGTGTGGCCCTGCTGGTAGAGCGCCAGGCAAAGACAGCAAGAGAGAGAGCATTTGCTTTCTCTGCCTCCTCTCATAAAAGCCTCCAAACTTTACAGGCACAGTGGTACACATCCTGGCTTCAGTGCTGTCACAGCTGGGCCCGGAGGCTAAGACTTCGCGTGAAGAGGGGAAGGCCTGCTGGGACACCGAGTGAAAGCTCCGTGTGTGTGGCATGGGATGCCCACTGAAGCAGTAGCTCAGCTGATGATATGTTTGCCCCAGAAGCCTGAGGGTCTGAGTTTGATCTCCATAACTCACACAAACAAAACAAAACAAAACAGGTCATGGGCTGGGGAGACAGTGTGAGGTCAGGAGTGCGAATCTCCAGCACCTGTAAGTGTGAGGCAGGTGTGGCAGCCTACTGTAACACTAATATTCAGCAAGCTGGCTGGCTAGACTCACTTGATCCATGAGTTCTAGATTCTGTGAGAGAGTCTGCCTTAGTAAGAGAAAGTGAAGAGTGGCTAAAGCAGACCCCTGATGACAACCTATGACCAGGCACATGCACACATGTACACACTCACCCAACACATATGAATCCATGAACATGTGCATATGCATACATACACATACCACACATATACACAGAGGGGTAGGAGAGCCAGGCAAAATGGCAAGCATATGACAGGCAAATCACTGAGCTCATTTACTGGCCTAGCTCAGTGGGAGCCCATGTCCCAATGACTCAACATCTCAAAAACAAGGTGAGTAGCTCCTGAGAATAACACCTGGAGCCAACCTCTGATTTCACATACACATGTGTGTGCCCACCCACACCATGCATGTGCCCACCCACAAACCTGTACATACATGCACACTCATTTTTTAAACCCCCTATGCTGGCTCACAACCATTCATAACTCCAATTCTAGGGGATCTGATGCCATGTTCTGACCTCCAAGGATACCAGGCATGCATGTGGAACACATATATACATACAAACAAGACACTCATACACATAGCATAATAAAATAAATAAGTCTAAAAACATTTTTTGTTTGTTTTTATTTTTAGGGACCGGGTCTCTGTGGCTTTGGAGCCTGTCCTGAAACTAGCTCTTGTAGACTTGGGTGGTCTCAAACTCACAGAGATCCGCCTGCCTCTGCCTCTGCCTCCTAAGTGCTGGGATTAAAGGCGCGTGCCACCAATGCCCAGATAAGTCTAAAAATTTTTAAATGTTTAAAATCCACCAGTGTGAGTCACAACAGAGGGCAAGTTAGAGGTTGGGGCCAGGTCAGAATCACAACAGGAAGCTCACTCCAGGCAGACATGCAGAGTCAAAAGGGCTTGAGGACACAGGAATTCAGTCAAGGCCAGTGTGGCTTGGGAGGACAAGAAGAGCCCTGACTAGAGCCAGACAATGAAATCAGGAGCCTGTGGACTGGATAGGACTGTGAGATGGAGGCAGCAGGGACAAGGCAACATCTGTGACCTGGGCAGCTAAGCTAGGAGGTAAGGAGTAGGCAGTGCATAGGCAGGAAAAGCAGAGCTTGGTGATGGAGAGGTGACAGCTGAGGCTGCTGATAGACACATACAGAGGTGCAAGGATGAAGCTGAGGACATGCACAGGGGTGCAGGGATGAAGGCTGAGGCTCTGATGGACACACAGGGTGCTGGGATGAAGACTGAGGTGCTGATGATGGACACACTCACAGGGTGCAGGGATGAAGGCTGAGGCATTGGTGGACACATGCATAGGAGTGCAGGACACAGGTGCAGAAGCCATCGGATTATGAACAGGTCTAGGCTAAGGGCATTGTGGTGGAGACAGGGAGTGGTACCTGAGGCAGGGATAAGGCCACCCTGGGACAGCAGGGATTCTGGCAGGGTAAGAGGTCCTAGAAGTGATTTGAAAGAGGAGCAATTGGGGAGGGAGCCCACAGCCAGTAGTGAAAGTGGCCCTGGAGCCCCTGTGGGGACAGCATGTTGGGTCCAGGGGAAGAGGACCCTTAGGGTGCCATGGGGTGGCAGGGAATGGGGGAGGGTGGAGATGGCCCAGCACCTGTGAAAGGCAAAATTGGTTGAGAAGCAACTGACTGGGTGTGGTGCTAAGAGGGCAGTCCCAGTGTGAGAGAGGGATCAAGTGTGGGCCTGCTGAGTCCCCGAGTCCACTAGAAAAATGCACTTTGGAGTTGAGGACATCTGGAGGGAACAGGGTTGAAGAGAATCGAGTCGTGAGCTGAAACATAGGATCCAAGATGTCTACAACACATACCCATGAGGATGAGGAGTTTCATGCTAAAAGGAAAAGCAGGGTTGGAGTGTACATCTCAGTGGGTAGAGTGCTGCATGGCAGGCACAGATCCCTGAGTGTGATCCCCAACACTTCACAAACACTTGGGAAGAGCTCATGACCAGCCTTGGTTACATGATGACATTGAGGCTATCCTGGCTTGTATGAGATCCAGAACCCTCATAAAGGTGGAAAGAGAGTGTTGTCCTCTGACCTCACATGACTTT